GCGGTCGACTCTGAGGATCCCCGTCCACGTATCGAGGTAACGCCGAACAATTCGTTTGTTGGTGCCTTTACCCTTACATACACCTGCTGAGCAGCGGAACTCATGAGCGCGACAGCCTTCGGCATTGTAGGTGATGTCTGGGATTGGGCCAAAGAAAGCGTAGATGGGTGAGGTCCAATCCTCGATGAGACGCGCTGGCAAAATTTGGTGAGTATTCGTCAATGACACTTGAGTTCAATAGAAAACTTACCTAGTTCTGCCTCGGCAGTCTCCCCCTCCTCCTCCTCCTCATCGTCGTCATCGCCGTCATGGTCTTCATCCCCACACTCACTGGAGTCTACAGGGATCAGGCTAGGCAAGTCGTCGAGGTCGTCGTCAACCATCTCAACATCCTCGTCGTCGCTTCCGTCAGCGGCCTCCATGATTCGTGATGCATTCCATGGTAGTGAATTGGAAGGGAGGTCGTCGTCGTCGTCGACCACAAGCTCGACTGATGGCTGTTGCTGTCGGCGCAACACGGCTGCGTCCTCTTCGAGCTTTCGCCGTTTAACAGCAGCAGGGTCGACATTGTCGGTGGAGGCAAGGCTGGCAGCGAGGAAGCGTTTGCGAACGCCGAGAGGACGTTGCTCAGGAATTGGTTTACTATGGGTAGGTGCCATTTCTTAGATAAATGCTCATAACTTACCTGATATTTATAGGACTTCGGCTACTTACTCTGAAAACTAGGTTGGGCCAGGCTCCTCGCGATGGAAGAAAAGGATGGTTTTGCGTGTTAAAAGGCCGGCAGAATGTATTGTGGAGCAGTGAAATATGTAGATATCGTGTTTATAATGTCGGACAAGCATTTGCTGCTCCACAAGAGTCAAATTTCAGTATATAGTCTACCGGATCTGTACATGAATGGTTACGAAGCTAAGTCGAGGCAACGCCCCCATCTTTTCTCAATTCAACTTGCCTTCAAGCCGACGCTCCCATCTTTTCTCAATTCAACTTGCCTTCAAGCCGATGCTCCCATCTTTTTCTCAATTCAACTTGCCTTCAAGCCGACGCCCCCATCTTTTCTCAATTCAACTTGCCTTTCAACATGTGATTTTGAGACCTGTTCATGTTGTTTGGACATGCTAAATCCTAAGCTCTACCCTTTCGGAATTAGGCGGGTAACCCTAACCCGTGGTGAGGGTTAGGGTTTGGCTGAGGGTTCAATGTTGCTACCTCTACCCTCACCCACTGTACCCTTACCCATGTACCCCTAAGGGTTCCCATACCCTTGCACATCACTACATGTACACATTGCGAATCTGATTGAGTCCCACTCGTTCTGCACGAAAATTGTGAAGCCGAATGCATGTTTCAATCAAATCTCCCCTTCTCTGGCTATCATTGATTTCGAGGGGAATTCGTAAGCGTCCAAATGAGCCTTGCAGAGCGCGATTTCCCCATTCAGCTGTCTGGCGATAGGAAAGCAGTTCCCTGTCAAAGGCAAATCGCTCCTCTATTTGTTCAGCAGTCCCTTGCATATGCTGTCCCGTCTTGACAGGAGCCTGTATCCGACCAGCTATACTTTGGGTACCGCGAGGAAATGCCGTGTCTGCAACAACATAAAATCCGTCTGGTGTGTCCCTTTCTAGTTTGCGATAGATTGGTTGCGCAACGCGTGAGTCATGCCAGCTGCCCGGCGCATTAATATTAGCAGCAATGATAGGTCCTAAGGCAACCAATTTAGTTTAAAAATATTTTCACAAGTTGTGTAGCACACCTTTGGGAGAATACATTAGTACAGAACTTACAAAATGCTCTGAAAGCCATCCATTGTATGTAGCATTCTCAATGTCTACATCCTCTGAGGTTTGGACAGCCAAATTGAGTCCATCAAGACTCGCAAATGCACCATGAAGACGTGGATGTCGAGAAACAATGAGGTCACTGTTTTCTTGGAATTCACGTAGTAATTTGGGGTATTTAATGAAAGATTCCGGAATGTTGTCAAGGGTTTCAAAGAGGAGACGCAAGGAGAATGTGATGTAGCGAGATATTGTTGAGGGAATGAGGGCAAAGATTTGTTGGAGGCTGACTTCACGCATGGTCGAATTAAGATAATGGAGAACAAGGCCAAGTGCGCCCCACGCATCTAGCGATCGCGCTGAGGGCCGAGGATCCCCTGTAGTCATGGCGCTATCTGAGCGATCAATGGGTCTTTCATACCACATACGCGCAAAACCTGATTTAATGATGTGTTCAAAAGCATCCACATCAAATCCCATGGTGGTGATGAAGGCACGATCGGAGCGGCTTTGGTAAAGCACTTGCCATGGGGTGTCTTTACGAGGGTTTGGAAGGAGCTGCGGCCGACAGAGATACAGCCGACTTGGTTGTCTTCGTTCCGCGCGCAGCATGCGAGACTCCTCCGCCCCAACGACCATGAGTGCAACAGCTGCGAGAGCAGCACCCTGCTCAAGCTCTTGCTCAAGATCATCTTCGCCATCTTCCTCTTCCTGCTGTATCAACGCGTACACGATCTCGTCCATTAGAACACAGCAGAGGGTAAATGAATCAAATCGCGGATCTAATCAAATCTATTATGTTTGGCGTTATGGTTTATTCGGTCCACTAAACTCTTGTGGGAAGTTCTCGTTTCAAGCTCCGATAAGGGTCGGATTTATTCGTTTTTATAGGTTTGGGTTACGGAAAGTCACCCAGTATGTATAGAGATGATTGATATGACTGCTGTACCTGGCTGGCGTCAATAATCCAAACCCCTCAAACCCCCCATCATCATCATACTTATCTCTTACTTGAGATGCCCGTGCGCACCGCTGACGACCCACTCGACGAGGTGCTCAAGCCACCTCCGGACGAGTCTCCAGAAGACCGTGCGGTAAGGCTGCAGAATGAGGCAGAGGCAAAGAGAGTTAGCTTGGCTATTGATGCTAGCATCAAGGCTGAACGACATGCGAGGAGGAAAAAGAGGATTGTGAGGCTGTTGTTGCTGGGTCAGAGCGAGTCTGGTGAGCTTTGTGGTCGTTTTGACCTACACTGTATTTATGAGAGTGTGTGTTTAGGGAAATCAACAACTCTACGACGTACGTCCACCTCTGTTGTTTTTTTGGTAGATATGAAAAGCTTATCGCCACCCTGCAGAATTTCAAAGACTGTATACACCCACCGCCTTTCGCGAGGAACGTATCCTCTGGCGCGCTGTTATCCAACTCAACATCGTCAGGTCAATACGCACCATCCTCGACGCTTTGACCTTTCCTTCAACTTCAACGTCCTCACCACACACATCACCGTACTCGTCCCCTCGTTCAAGGGCCCGCACCATCTCCCGCCCGCCTTTACCAAACCATCCACACGAGCAATACAATGGCAACGGGAACGACACAACACTAACATTCGGCTCTTCTTCGTCCCCCCCGCGCGTCAGACACCGGCACCACCACCACTCGCCCCCGTCCAACCCAGACTCGGACGGAGACTCCGAGTCTGATTTCGTTCATCCCCACCACCACATACACCACCGCAGCCCACGCTCCACCTCCCCACTCACACTAGCCCAAAACACACCCCTAGACGCACTAAAAGCGCGCTTATTACCCCTGCGCCATATCGAGGCTCTCCTCATCGCAAAACTTGTCCCGCCCAACGAGGAAGAGGCGACGCATTTCGCTCGTCCTGGTCCCCCTGGTGTTGGTGTTGGTGCTGGAACGAGTGCAGGGTCTTCCTCCGGGGCGAGTTCTACGTCGGGTGGGACGGGGAACCACGCGTATAGGAACCAAGAGATTTTCGTTAGGCCTGGGACGGGGTGGAAAGGCGGTTTAGCGCGTGCTAGGGTTACTTATCCTGGGTCTGGGTATGGGTATGGCGATCATCATCACGGCGCGAAGCAAAACAAAAACGGGAGTAGTGGGAAAGGGAGTGGTGGAGGGAATGGAGCAACAAGACCAATGAGCGCAGGTACTACGGGTCTTGAAACGCAGGATGAGCCGCAGGAGGTGTTGAATATGTGTAGGAGGGATATGATTGCGCTTTGGAATGATGAGGGTGTTAGGGAGGTGTTGAGGAGGAGGAAGATTAGGATTGAGGAGGAGTCGGGGTTGTGAGTTCTTTTTCTTTTCTTTTTTGGAGACGTAATTCTAATGCCGTCGTTGTAGCTTTTTGGATGACTTGGAGCGCTTGACGTCGCTCAAGTATATGCCTACGGATGGTAAGTCCGTCCTTTCCCCTCCTTTCAACGCACTCAATTCATGTGAACAAACAGACGACGTCCTCAAAGCCCGGCTCAAAACCGTCGGCGTATCAGAGTACAAATTCGAGATGGAAGCGACTGCGGGGAGGGATAGCGGGACGGAGTGGAGGATTGTGGATGTTGGTGGGAGTCGGAGTCAGGTTGGTTTCTTTCTTCTTTCCTTCTTTCTTTGTCATTTCCTACACTTTCTTCTTTCCTTTCCTTCATCCGATTCTAACTATCTAATCACCCTTTTTGTTTCACAGCGTCGTAAGTCCCATCCTCAACGCATCCCTCAAAAATCCTGATCTGAAAGCTAGCTACGTGGGCGCCCTTCTTCGACGATGGTACGTCCCCCTTTCTTCCTTTCTTTTTTTTTTTTTTTGTTTCCTTCGTGCACAAGTTGATGGATTTGTTCCACAGTGGACGCTATCATCTTCTTGGCACCCATATCGGGGTTCGACCAAGTACTTTCTGAGGATCGAACGGTGAATAGGCTGGTGAGCTTTCTTTCTAGTTGATTTGGTTCTCGTCTTGGTCTTGTTTTGTTTTGGCGCCTCCTTCTTTCGTTCGTTTGGTGGATTCGTTTTGAGTACATCACGGAGGCGGTCTGCTCCTCCTCCCTTCCGTCTCTGTTGTTTTTGCAGTCGTGTTTTGCTCCTTCCCTTTCTCCGCCTACCTTTTTTAGGGGCAGCTTTGGGTATCAGTCCAATGATGCTTCCTCTTTCCTTTCCTTTCACTTGCGTCCGCTTCGACTTCTGTGGGTTTAGCGTCGATTGGTCTGATACCGTTCTGTCCCTTGCCTTGCCTCCGCATCTCTGGACTTCTGGCCGCGACAGGGCTCTGCACTCCGTTTCTTTTTTGCAGTTTGGGTAGCTCTGTTCCCCTGCCATCTTTGTATTCTCGGCTGTTTTATTTAAATTTATACTTCAACGGGAAGGTTTCGGCCCCCAAATCCTCGAAGTAAGAGTGAATGACTCCGATGATAAACGCGCGTTTTGAGCTGGTAGTTTCAGGACTCAATTCCTCAGACTCAGAGTTAGGACAGAATCTGTAGCTATAGGATACATGAAGTGACCTCATGTGCGCATGCGCAATAATAGAAACCAATTGCAAAATTTGTTTCTTTGTCCTCTTCCGACAACTACCACAATCAAAATACAATTTTCTAACCATTTCTTGGCTATTCCATGGGAAACAATGGCTTTGATTATAATGCGCTCAGAGGTATCAATCCAAAGTTCTCAATGTCACAGACTTCGGACGTCAACGACAAAAGTCAAGCCAAAGACGTTCTCAATGACGCAGGGTAGGCCACATACACAGACCCCGAAAATCAGCTCGACACGCAACGCAAATTCCTTCAAGTTCGCTCTGTTCAAGAACGCTGAAGCCTTGGCCATTCCTGACGCGTCGCGACAATCCGTGTTTTCTTTTCAAGCGCCACAACGAACGCAGGCTGAGAGTTCATCTCAGAGTACGGTGACTCTCTATCAGCACTATTTCTTTCAGATGTCCAAAAACCATCGAAGGCTCCGGGCAATATCCTGCAGGCTCGCGACGTCGGACAGGGGGAGGCACAAGGTGAGCATTGCCACTCTTTCTTTCGTGAATATGGGTCTGACGACGACGACAGAGGGAGGAAGAGACGCGTCATCAGCGTTGCCAACCTCACCCAAATCTGAAGGCCGCGCATACTTCCAGCTAGCATCGCGTAAACCGCCGCCAAATCGTCCTTCACCTACCGCTTCACACAGAGAAAGAGAATTCTGGCCAGAATATAGCCGGGAAAACGACAGAACCGCATCTTTGACCTCAATTCCGGGCGAGTCCAGTAAGTTATTCATAATGTATACGCCATTTTGTTTGACACATCGTTATAGACCACAAACCTAGTCATCGACAATCCCCCGCCCTATCTGGAGCGCATACATCTTCTTCGCCTACGCCTTCACGCCCCAGCTCGGGGTCTCAAGCCTTATTTCCACGATCAAAAAATGAATTAAGTTTCAATTCGATCCCAGATACGTCTCTCAAATCACAACAAACTCCCCCCATTGCGAAAAGGGATGTAAAGCGGGCGTTTAGCGATCTCCTTGAGCATGTTCGTTCATTCATGGTTCTTCTTGCTTCCCTTCTTTTGAACTTTCTTCTTCTTCACAGAACCACCGATATGAAGCTTTTTTTGCGGAATCGATTGCGCTGCAAACACAAAATGAGTATTTATCTCGGATGCGCAGTGCGGCCACGAAGGATCTCAAGTCTGTGCGTGAAGAACTTTCCGCTACAGCAGCGCAATTGGCATCTGCTAGGTCGGACCTCGCCGGCGCTCTTCCACTGTTGAAATCAACGGAGAATGAATTAAGCACCGCCAAGTCTGACCTCGCCTTGACACGCTCGAATCTTGCGGATGCCGTCGCCGAAATTTCGTCCCTCAAAACTTCTTTGGAGCAAATGTCGCATTCTTGTGAGCAGGAAAAGTTGGGGAAGGAAGTTGTTGAAAAGAGGCTCGTCACGGCGAAGCAAGGTCTGGCGACTCTCCGAGATAAGTAAGTTATCTGTCGATCCCTGTTGTTTCTTACTTATGCTAGCTTCAATAGCTACGAGTCACTTCATTCTTCCTTTGTCGCTCTTGGAAAGTCTCATGAGGCTTCGAAAGTTTCGCTTTCACAAGCTGTCGCCGAGGCGACTGAGATTAAGCGGTCTGCAGCGGATGCCTTGACCAGTAAGGCTGTTTCAACTGGGTTTACGCAATTTTGACGACGTCTCCGCCACTACTAGGTGTCAAACCTCTCCTTGAAGCAGGCGGTGGCCTTTCTCGCGCATCTGAAATGAGAGACACTATTCAAGAACTCCAGGGAGAGTTGGGGTCATGTAAGCTCGTTCTCGCTCTTCATCGAATTGTTCGTTGACCCTCTACAGCCCAGCGTGTGACTGATCTCCTCCGAGACAAGCTCCACCATCTATCTTCTCAGCTCGCGGATGCGCAAGCACGGATCAAAGATTTCGAAGATACGGAACGCGGGACGCGGGACGCTGAGTGTTCCTCGTGATCGCTTGTACGATAAGCGGAGCTTGGAGGTTTTATGCAGTGTCGGTGAGCATTTCTGTCAACTGCCTTTGCTCCTGTATGGACACTTATGTTTTCGTTTTCTCAAGGGACCAAGGTAGAAGACCTGACGGACCGTCTGTCGAAGCACGAACGGGAAAGTATCGATGCCCTTGTCGAAGCAGCTGGTGTAGAGGCAAAGCTCATTGCTGTCACTCATGAGTAGGTTCTACCTTTGCGTTGAAATTTTACCGAAGGCATGAACTATGCTTTCAGACCGCAGAACCTGAAAACTTCCTCATCAGCAAATCTCCTTGAGCTGCAGGAGCTGAGGGTCATCAAGGAGGAGTGAGCGTGCTCACCTACCTCTTAACTTCACATCCGCTTACTGCCTTTTTGACAGGGGTATTTCGAAGTTGCTTGCATCTCAAGAAGTCATCAACACCAAGGACAAGGAGATTATCGGTTTAAAGGCAGAGGTCAAGGCTCTCGGCGAGTCGAAGGCTGAGTTGAGAGCACTGTTAGTTCCCTTTTTCCCCGGTGTTTGGTGGGCTTACACACAGTATCAGGGTTGCGGAGGCTAAGAAAGCGGTCGCGGAGAAAGACCGCGATCTCAGAGCTAGGGATTCGTAAGCGACGGCGACGTACACCCTCGTATGCCTTCAACGATAATCTGTCCAGACATACCTTGGTTAAGCAAAAAGTCGAGGGCCTGAACTCGCAGGTCGTTTCTGCAGAGGCATCGTTGAAAGTGTACGTCACCCATTTAGTCTCTTTTTGCCTTTTGTAACGGGGTTCTGTAGAACAAGGGAATGGCTCGCACTAGCTCAATCCGAGGCTCGTGAGCGTAAAGAGGAAAGCGACATTCTGAAGACAAAGGTTGAGAGCCTTGAAGTCGCTCGTGCCGAATGGTACGTCCACTTCGGTCGTGTTTCATCCTCACCATTGATGAATACCGTTACTCTAGGGAGGGTCTGAATTCCAAGTTACAAGCACAGATTCAAGAGCTTAGTACAGGAGAGGCACTGGCTGTACGGACGACCCAACTAGTTCAAGCTGAGATCAAGCGGGTCACAGCGGAAGTCAAGAAGGCCAGCGAGGAAGCGAGTAAAACTATCGAATCGTATGTCGCTTGTTTTCTGAAGTTAGTAATGGTTAGAACTGATGCTTATCTTCAGGCTTCGTCAAGCGAATCGTCGGTTGGAGGTCGACAATAGCTTGTACTTGTGTGTATTAGTCGTCCCTGACATTGGTTTTCTCAGAACCGATTGGATGAACAAAATACGGCTCTGGTCTCAGCGAATGACCTCAACAACGCACTCCAGGTGATGAAATCATTGCACTAGCGACATGCGTACTTTACTGACGTTACTATGAACAACGCAGACTAGATTGGATGAGCAGACCGCTGCTTTAACGCTAGCCAAGGACCAGATCACTGCGAATGAGGTGAAGTCTGCCGTATCTCATGATACTTCAGTGATTGTTGATATACTTCGACCTCAGGCCGGCGTTCAAGAGATCGTTCACAACCTCAGGACGGAACTCGCCGTTGCCCATGAGCAGAAACTCGCGCTTGAGCGTGAGACCGCGAACCTCAAAGCCTCCTTCAATCAACTTACTCGGGAATCCGCCGCCTCGCTGGCAGCTGCTCAAGTG